GCAGGGAATCCTAGCAAAAAGCATCCCCTGTCCAGGTTCCAACTTTCCTTAGGGGCTGAGTACCCTAGCCCAAATGAGGCTTACCTTTTCAATTATACTAGAGATTATCTATTCAGCTACTAAGCTTCTAGAACTGATGATCAGGTCCCCAAGTCCTAAATCCCAGAGCCTCAATCCCCTAGGCCCTAAACCCTACAGCCCCAAGTCCTGAACCCCAGAGGTCTCCAAACCCTAGGTTCCCTGATCCCTAAAGTGCCTGCGCACCGAAGCCCATCTTCATCCAGCCGAAGAAGGAACTGGGAGTTTTCAGTTTAGAAGGATAGGGATCGTAGGGTTTAGGCTTTCAGGATCTACGGGTTGCAGCTACCGTGCCTAGAAGGACTCTTACATGAGGTACCCCTGGCCTCAAGACAACGTCGCCTGTGTCTCGTCGGAGTTCGGATGTCGCTGCGGGTCAAGTAGGGATTGAAGTGTTCAGGGCACTGTCAATTTTGCTTTGCTTTATTGTCCAGGGTGGTCTGAGGGATGAGGGCTTCGGGAAGGGGGGCGCGCCCTAGACCAAACCCGAAAGCGAACCCTGAACAACAGAGTTTACGTCTGTCTACACCCGAAACCCTCAACCCTAATATAGGGCCTGAGTGAAGGGAAATTGAATTGGACCCCTGCAACACAGCATGTGCTCCAACTGTGAACTGAAAGGTCTAGCGACGAGTCGTAGGAACTCATACATCCCGAAACTCGAAATAAAAGCTAGATTACCAGAAGCCCCAGGATCACCCTAAACCATAAAACCTGTAAGCCCTAAAGCCTGAACCCGAACAGCCCCGCAGCCCCTGTCTGGAACTAGCCCTTCAAGCCCCCTGATCACTGAAGTTTAAACACGCCTTAGGGCTTGGGGTTAGGGGTGTAGAGTTCAAGGTTCAGGCTTTAGGGGTTTAGGGCTTAATGGTCTTAATCTCCGCCCGATGTCTTTAAATGTAAACTTCATCTTGCACCACAAAAACCTCTACAACATAGTAGGTTATGGCTCCTTGTATTTAAGTCATGGCGCGTGCTGTCGCCCATGTAGACCAGGCGTTGTCCACTGGCGTTAGCGATGTAGTGCTGGTTTTCCTTGTACCTGGGTGGCCAGGGGCTCCAGTCGCAGCCTCGAGGCCCTGAAACCCTAAACCCCGAACCCCTAAACCTGAAGCCTAAAGTAGGAGCCTAAATACTCACCTGTACTATTTTGAGGTTCCTTATTATAGTTATAGTGTACTGAAGCCTAATGTAGGAGCCTAAATACTCACCTGTACTATTTTGGGGGTTCCTTATTATAGTTATAGTGTAATGGGCCCCAAAACCCTATTCTAATTATTAAGGCTCCTATATTAGGCTCCGGGACTCTGGGATTCCGGGCCTAGGTGAGGATCTAAACTCGCTCTTGCCGAGTCAAACATCCGAGTCTTTCAAACGAGCCCGGTGATTGCAAAAGTTTAGGGTTTAGGGCTAGGGTTTAGGGTTTAGGGTTTAGGGTCTAGGGCTTCAGAAGGGCAACAGGCCCCGCTGTGAAGTTGGCTTTCCGAACTCGCTTACTTAAACCTCGCTGAGCCCGATCTCCCGAAGCGTCGTCGAGTATGGAATCTACTCTAAGGGCTTTAGGAGGGACCCTTAATAGGGACCCTTGTAGGTTATTGGGGTTACTATGGAGACTACCTGGCTATATAAGGGGTAAATAAGTCCTTAGATCTACGCAGTGGGTACGACGCATTCGCTATACGATGTGCTTTGCTCCGTGGGCTGGAAGCGAGTCAGTGCTCACGAAATCCAAACCCGGAACAGTTTAGATCCTAAGTTAACTAGACCGTACATTACGCCCAAACTACCTAAACCATAAATTTAAGCCCCTGTATGACCTTAGCATAATCATGAGTTCAAGCCCTGAAACAAACTAAAATTTGAATGACAAACTCAGAAACAAAATCAATCCGGAAACTGCAACCTGACATATCCAAAGCCCCTAGACCCTAAACACCGTTACCGTAAACC